TGCTTCTGGTAGTGTCTCCAACCTTATGTAATGACCCGCCAGGAGAGGCATGGATGACTCGGTCAGTGCCAGCATTTAGGCAAGGGCCTAAGGCAGTCCCATTTCAAAAAGCCTTTTGCTGATTACTGGAGCAGGCTGTTGAGTCTGTAGAATTGTTTCCTGCTAAGTTACCCCCACTATCCTGTATTTTTTTCTCCTATGTGAATTTTTATAATGATACTCGCCTTAACTGGTATTTTTGCTGTGTTCTAATACAATTGATTTTTAACTGAAGCATTAGCTTGTAAGCTGCCTTGAACTGTTTTTGGAAAGGCAGGATATGGGGGAAATGATCCAGAAAGGGAAGGGGCTCGGGGAGAACTGAGTGCACAATCCTGAAACCCGGTCCCAGGCTCTTAACTCAGTGAAGAGCCCCAGATCTTATGTCTGTGCCAGATGAGGGACAGAAGGATTGAAAAGATGATAAGATGCTGATGAGATTAGATGACAGGGTAAGATCATCTATCATACTACTAATTTTAATGTCATTTCAATAGGGCATTTCAAGTTCTGAAATAACTTCACAAACATTCTTTCTGTACTGCTCCAAAAACGCATGAAAAGATACTCCGGGTACTTTCATAACTGATGCAAAGAACACTTTTTAATACAGAATGTGTCACTTCTGAATGTCTGTAACACACCCAGGTGGCTGGGGTACATGGAAGGCCTCCATGAGTTAGAGAGAAATGAGAAGAAAAAATCCATACACTTCCAAATACTTTTATTGGTTTGGGAACAATTCATATCATTGCCTGCTAGAGCCTGTCTGGCACCCTTACTTCAGGGCCACGGCAGTCGCCTGCCAAGCTGTGGTCCTGAATATCCCTCTCCCTCAAACATGGTATCTATGTGTCATGCTCTGTCTCCATCCCTAATGTGCACCATCAGACACCCTACCTGGTCCAGCCCCTGAGGTCCTGCCCTTCCATGGGAATTCCTGATCTCCCTTTGAGATGGAACCATCATTCCCAGAGGGGGCCATAATAACCACCAGTTTTGTAGCCCTTGGCTGACCATAACCACAGAACCAGTAGCCCCAAGATTACATGGCTCATATCTGGTGCCAGGTACATCCTGGCCAACCCCAGGAAACCACCCTGACCATGTCTCCATAGCAAGATTCAGATACTGGACAGGGTTGCCCTGTCAACATTCTGTGTTGCAATTAAGTCTGGCTGTAGATCTGTGGCATCTATATGACAGGAGCTGACAGCTCTAGGTGACTGAAGAGCTGGCTCTGACCTGGTTCTTGCCAGAGCTAATTACAATGACTAAGCATTGGCCCTGATTGGCTGATGGATGTATAAATACAGTGAGGTACTGTGTATGATAGCTTCTTGTGAATATTGGTTGTCTGCGGAGCATTACGTCAGTCTGTGTAATTATTTGGTGGAGGCTTTGTAAAATAAACTGTAAATAACTTTTACACAAGCCTTGAAGACTCCAGTCTTTATTGGATACCCTTGCACCCGTGCCCGGTCTGCAGTGGGCTAACACCGCACAATATCGACATGCCCAGCATGGCCTGGCAAACACCGAGACTCTGGGACACAGGGGGTGCTGTCAGGCAATGGCATGACATCATTTTCAGGGAAAAGCCACAAGTGACACCATGCCTCTCCAGAAACTCTATAATAAAACCACAGAGTTTCCAGCCATTCTTAAAGCAGACTGCCCTCACTTCTGGTTTTTCCCAGAAGTGGCGTCATGCCACAGCCAACAGCTTTTTTCAAACATAATTTTTCTCGCACCTGCCATAGAACCCATGGTGGGAAACAGGATCGGGGGGGGGGGGGATCCTCACCTCCTGCATTAACCTGGGAGCCCTAGTCCCAGATCCCATTGAGAAGTCATAATGTTATTACAAAAAAGTGAAAGAGGGACATTCTTTAATTGCGTGTGCGTGTGTGCGCGCGCGCATGCACTATTCGGAAAATAACATTGTTTCATTCAATGTACTGTTATGAAAACTGCAAGTGTTGATTTAGATGTCATTTATAAAAGCATCAGTACTTTGTTACCAGGCTTTTTGAAACACTGCAGTACATTCCGGCCATGGAAGACAGCCTTGGATTTCATATATTTCTTTCCTCCTCCTTTACACTCTGAAGCAAGGCAGTCCAGATTCCTCCCCCTACACGCTTTCCTTGTAGACTTGCAGATGCATAAAATATCTTCAGGCAAGAGAGGTTCCTCTCCCCCCCACTCCCGGGTAGATTGCAAATCCAAACTAAGGCACAACCGTACCACAAATTTACCAGAATGGAGGCGGCCTCTTGCATGTGAACGGGTTTGACATGGGACCGCCTGCACTTGGCTGCATTTTGAAATAACTGTATGCTGAGGTTCTAATATTAATACAACCACCTAACACAGTAATATTTGGTGCATTCTGAGTGTTCCAGACATTTCACAAATATTGCCTTAGTAAGCTATATCTTTACAATAACCCTGTGAGCATTATTATTAATAGTATTATTATCCTCATTTTGCAGAAATGGAAAACATGGTGAGTGTTGTGTAATTAGAATCTGCAAGCCCAAGAGCACCAATCCAATCCTATCACTATCAGAAGTTCCTAGTACTCACAAAATGAAAAAAAACAGGTTGCTTACCTGTAACTGATGATCTTCAAGTGGTCATCTGTGCATTCACACCTTTGGGATATAGTGCGCCTGCACCGATCCCAATCGGTAAACTTAAAAGCTGAAAAGGATTTTTGTGCCCACTGCCCATGTCACGTGCAGGGGCTCCACTGTGCATGACTACAGGGAAGGGCATGAAGATCCCACCAATTCCTTCTGACTGCTGCCATCAGCCTCAACAGACGAAAGGACCAACAGCAGAGGGGAAGGAGGGTGAGTGGTGTGAATGCACAGATGACCACTCAAAGACCATCAGTTACAGGTAAGCAACTGTTTATCTTCTTCGTGGCCTCTCTGCATCACACCTTTTGGGAGAGTAACAAGCTCAGGCCTACTTGGAGGAGGGTGCAGGAGGGGCCTCAAATGCATGCTGACTGCAATACAGAATGCCCCACTGTTCAATGATGGAGACTCACATCTAGGGCGTAGTGCTTCACAAAGGTATGAGGTGCAGCCCAGGTAGCTGCATTGCATATGTCCTGTAAGGGTGTACCCTTAAGGAAAGCAGTCAAAGTAGCCAGAGCTCGTGTAGAATGAGCATGGACAGGTCCAGGAAGTGGCCTTTTGGTCAGTAAATAACAGAGCTTAATAGTCTCCACTATCCATTTGGACAATCTCTGTGAGGAGAGTCTATGTCCTTTCCTGGGCATGGCATAGGACACAAAAAGAGCCAGGGCCTTGCAAAAGTCCTGAGTTCTTCGCAGGTAGAAAAGTAAAACTCTCTTCACCTCAAATGTGTGAAGACGACAAAGGAGGACAAAGGAGGAGCAAGGGGCCGAGGGGGGAATAAAAGGAGGAGAAGAGCCAGCTGATGAAGAGAGCCTGGGCTGGCTACAGCTTTAGCTCCGTGCCCAGCGAGATTGAGTGAGCAAAACAGGAATAGCTGCGGTTGGGACAGCCAGACACCCAGGACGGGCAAAGAGAGTGCAACAACTCTCTGATGCGCCTGTTATCTGAGGCCAGCTCCCTCCTTGGGTATTCCCCTGCTCGACTCCTTCCTCCCTGGCCGCGGTGTCGGGGGACCCTCTGCTGGACACTGCAGGAAAGGCAGGCAGCACAGCGACCGGCGGCCAACCCCTCCCGGGAGACGGAAAGCGCGACAGCCTCTTAGTGCCATTATGGCGCCGTTGCAGCGGGACCTATCAGGGCAAAGAGGAGCCTCGATTCCTTGGCCTCAGCCTTGGAAGAGGCACCCCTCACGCCCCAGGCTGGCAGTCCCCTACAAGGACTCCGGGGGAGGGGTCCGGATGAACCGACCCCCCTCTGTATGGGAAAATCTTTATGCCCTGTAGATGAAGATGGGCTGCAATGACTCCTATTGTCTTTGTGAACACACGAGGGGGCCTTTATATGCCAAAGGGGAGAGCTTTGTATTGATAATGTTGCTCCTCTATGGTGAACCAAAGGAATTGCCTAACCCGGTTCTCCCAGATTAGAGTCCATGCTCCTAACCACTACACCAAACTTATCTGAATGGAATTTCTAGCACCACCTCCCTTCTACTGTCCTAGAGGAGAAGGATGGGCAAAAGGAAGGTTGCTGATTTTACATCATCAGCCTCCTGTTTCCTGAACCATTCTGAAAGTGTAGGAGAGAAGGTAGCCTCTGAAATCTGAGTGGGAAGAGGAAAGCAACACTAGCCCTGTAAATATTACATCTTTGTCGCCATGGCACATGGCACAGGGACATCTAAACCAAGAGTGTTGTCCTCCTCACTTGTAACTGAGTACACTGGCCTCATTCTCCTCCTTCCTACATTCACATAAATGTGGGCACAGTATTTAAGCCATTACAAAAACTGTACCCACATGCAGTGAACATGTGTAGGAGGATGTCCCCTTCTACTTCATGGGCCCTGTATACTACTGTGTTCTGGGTACAGCGCTACTGCATTTGGGTTACGTGGGACCTTTCACACACAATGCCTTTTCCCCCAAGGAATTGAAAGATTATTATTATTATTGTTGTTGTTATTATTATTGTTATTATTATTATTATTATTATTATTATTATTATTATTATTATTTATTTCCCCTGCTTTAGAGGAGCTTATCGGGGCTCTATAATGCCAGCAGCCAATTCCCACTCTTACTTCAAAATTATATCTAGCAACAAGCATACTTCATATTAACAGGTCATCTGAAAGCAAAGAGTCAGAAAGAAACAGAGGCATATGGAGTTCAGCAAAACCAGCACAGCAACTTCATACACATTTCCACTATTTGGTATGCACTTTGCTAGTAATTTACAATCCACATAAAGGTGAAAGAGCTTTCAGGGTAAAACCATAGATTTGTCCTATCAGACACTGACCTTTCCAGATGCCTTCCCTTTCTGATTAAGAGACACAGAACACAGGTCCTCATGCATGTGGTCCAGCAGCCATAGGAGGAACTCCAGAGCATCATGTTGTGAGTTTCCACGAAACTGAGCACCATACTTAGAGACGACATTCTGTAGTTAAAAGAAGTGAAAGGAGTTAGCACTTTTAAAGTATGGAATGGGGAAAGACTGCAGTCAAGAGGAGGCAAATGGAATTTATACTCCCTAAAGCTCACTCATTTCCTCCTCCAATTGGTCTTGGAAATAATCTGGATCCAAACAAGCCCTTGCTGAGAAACCACCTGGGCTATAGCATTTCAGACCACAGGTGAGGTATCTCATGACTAGGGTTTCCAGGTCTCTTCGTCGCTCTGGCAGGGGGATTTGGGGGGTGTTCCAGGGTGGGCAGGGATGCCCCAAGCCCTGCCCCCAAGCCCCATCCCCAAGAGTGACCACCCACCCAGCCACCCCTCTCCCTCCCCTCCTGCCTGATTTAAAGGGATTCAACTCATTGGCAGGGTCCACAGAGCCCGCTGACCACCTGGAGGGCCCTTTAAATCTAGCAGGAGTAAGGGAGGGGAAGTCATCATGGCTCCCACCCCACTCGCAAAAAGACCCTTTAAAGGGGTTTTTTTGTGAGCTGAGAGAGTGGCCCACGACCGCCCCTCTCCCTCCCTCCTGTGGTTCCTGTCGATCAGCTGAAGCCCTTTAAATCAGGCAGGAGGGGAGAGGGGGGGTGCCCGGGTGGGTGGTTGCTCTTTGGGGTGGGACTTGAGGGAAGGGTTTCCCCCACCAGCCAGCTGGCCGGGGGTGGACTGAAGCCCCCAGAAGCGGGGGACCCCGCCTGGACCTGGGGGCTGGCAACCCTACTCATGACTGCATGTTGCTCCCTCCCAAATCCCTCCACAGTGAAAACTGGCATTTTTCTACGGAAAAGCTAAACTAGAATCTGTCCTCCCGTGTATACGGATGAAACTGTTTTGTATGAGGGCTCATTCTATCATAAAGAGCTCTTCCTGTAGTCTGAAGTGGCACAGCCACAGGATCCCCGTTCCAGTGAGAAGTGGATCTGAATGGTGTAGAACACATTTGCATGACTTTTTCTGCATGGCCCTTTCTTACATGCCCCTGGAAATGCTGATCGCCACTCTGGGGTCAGGAAGCAATTGTATTCCAGGCCAGTTTAGCCAGGGATCCTGGGGGGGGGGGGGGATGCCCTCTTCTGGGCATACAGCAGGGGTCACTGGGTGTGGGGGGGAGGTATTTGTGAACTTCCTGCATTGCACAGGGGTTGGACTATATGACCCTGGAGGTCCCTTACAACTCTATGATTTAGACTGGCTTCAAGGTGGCAGATTTCAAAGAATTTTTGACAAAATCTGAGCTAACAGGGAGACGAACATAGTATTTGGAATAAAGTGAGAGTAAAGATGAAAAACGTTAACTAGTACCCATATAGAGAAAGTGGAAAATGTATAGGAATAGCATGGAAGCACCCCAATGGCTTCAGAACCTTTTCCATCCACTCACCTATCTGTATCTATATAGTCATCTAGATATGTACACCCTGCTTCCCCCCCCCCACTGGGAGCCAAAGTGGCTTAAAACATTTTCCCCTCTTCCATTTTGTCCTTGCAACAGGCAGGTAAGATATATGACTGGCCCAAGGTCATCCACCAAGCTTCCATTGTCACATGGAGATTCAGACCTGGGCCTCCCAAATCCTAATCCAACACTCTAACCACTACCCCTAAATTTGGGGAACTCCTGGAGAATTTGGGGTGATACCTGGGGAGGGCTGGATTTTGGGGGGGGGTGACCTCAGTGGGCTATAATGCCAAAATCCACCCTCCAAAGCAGCCATTTTTCTCCCAGGGGAATTGATCTCTGTAGACTCATGCAAGCTGGCTACAAGGTGCTTAGCACAAACATGAATACTGGGATCTGGCACAGGAACTGTAACTCCTTCCTGCCTAGCCCAGGAGAAAGCATAGAAAAAATAGCAGGCCATGTCAGAGGGAGTTTCTAGGTGTAGAAGGCTTAAGTAGATATTAAATTGGTCACCCCCAAGGAAATGCAAAACAGAGCACAGGATGGTTTAGTTTGTCATCTCCTCCACTTCTTAATCTAAATAAATGGGTTAAGAAAACAGGTTATTAACCTAAAGGCAACATGGGCACTTCCAAGGGGGAAATCAGGTACTGGCAGAGGAAGATCCTAATGGTTTTGTTGCCACAGGCTACCAGTCCATTGAGACAGGGGTAAAAGATGAGAACCCCTGAACCCAAAGGTTTTCCTGGCCCTTGGCCCACAACTCACAGCCTGGATTTGGGTTTTGATTATTTGGTTTTTGTTTATTTGTGGGTGGGTTTTGTTTGTGGTTTGCTATAATTTGGGTATTTTTTTTCATTTGGTAAGTGGCTTTAAGTACCTCCACAGAGAAAAGAGGCCTAAAGTGCTTCAATAAATAAAAAACAATGCATTTTTTATATATTTTATATAGCACCACTTTTTAGATTTTTATCCAGAACCATGTGAATTATAATCCTGCTGTTTTTAATACAAGGGTGAAGTCTGAAGGCCTTAAAACTACTGAACTCTGCCCTCAAAAAGCATATGCTATAATTGTGTGGCACTTTCCTCATCAGATTCCCAGAATATTTTGCACAAAGACTTTCATTCCACTTGCCAAAATTAGAATCATTTACTTTGTGCATTAAAAAAACAAAAAAAATGACAGTCCCACCCAGCCCTTAAATCACGTGATTTACAGAGCTTTGTCACTCCACAGCTTGACAGGGCCCCCCTCACTTCCTGATAAGAGGAGTGGATACTTTGTTTCTGCTTTGTGACAGACACAGAAGCTAAAGCCAAGGGATCCCTGGTGTTGCTCTCCAGGAGACAAAAGGAGGTTCTGCTTGACACTGAGTTGGCAAAGTGTTGCTAGGGTAACCAAAGCTACACTGTTGAGAACCCAGGAGGAAGGCAGGAGCTCAAGGTCTCTTTCTCTCGCCTTGGTGGGTCAAGGCCACTTTGCTCTTTTCTCCCACGGGTTGCACTTCAGCACTCCACTGCCATAGATTTCAGCTGCCAGGCAAACAAATGCTGGCGCCTGGATCATAAAACAAAGCTGTGCCTTGCCAACAAAGGGGATGTTCTGAAAAACCCACAGACTACGCTATAATGAAGAGTCTGATTTAATCCTACCCAGCCTAACAAAGAAAGCTTTTCTTTTTCTTTTTTAGTTTGGCATCATCTCTAGGATCTTGTTCAGGAGCTTCCCCCAGCTATAGATGAAGCCATTCTTCTCCCCCCCCCCCCCCGGCAAGGCCCCTGTGTCTTTAACAACCCTATGGCAAGAAGAAACTCAACAGGTGAAACTTTCCCCAGGGCTGCATCTCTATGCAGGGAAAAGCTGCCCTTTAGACATTTTGCCTTACTGTGCAGCTCTTAAAGAGGCCCTCTAAGAGGGGGAGTGGAGTAGCAACTAGATATTGGTTGACTGGAAATGAAGCTGCTGCTCTAAGGGATCTTCCAACCCTCCCCT